GGGAAAGAGAGAAGCAAGAAAGTGCCCTCCCACCCTCATGGGGGGACAGTTGCACTTCAGTCCTTTCTCTATTTCTTCTTTTAGAATTTTGGATACACGCATGTGTGTGCACACACATACAAATATACATACTCTTGGTGTGTTTTTCAAGCTATGTTCGGGGCTTGAACCACTGAGTCATGTTGTATCCAGCTGGCTCAACTATCGCACTTCTGTCTGTCAAATTTTTTTTTTTTTTTTTTTTAGAGATTTTCACTGTAGGGCGTGTGCGCTCACCAGACAGACAGAGAGAGACATAGAGACAGAAAGCGAGAAATCACCCCCCAGGGGGGATGGTCACACCGCAATCCCTTCTCCTCCATTCTCCTCTCGGGATCTTGGGCACGCACGCACACGCGCCCGGCGTGAGTTTTAAGCCACTGGGTCCGGAACACGAACCGCGGTCGACTACGTGGGAGTCCAGCGACATAGCCATTACGCTAACTGCTGGTTCCCTGTCAAATTTTTTTATAACACACATTTTTAATGAACTTTTTGAAGACATAGCATTGAGACATCTATTTGTACTATCTGTACTATCTCTGTAATATGTTGTATTCTAAGTAGAATTATGTCTCACAGTAAAACTGATGGAGAATAACTTGTTGGAGCACTTCTGGTATTTTTTCTTATAGTAATTTTTTTATGGATGAAAAGTAAAATGACAAAATTGAGGAGTTTAGATATAATATACCACAGATTAGAGTTGTCATTGCTTTTTTTAATTGTCAGGGAGCATGTGCACTCAGTGGGAGGAGGGGTGAGGGAAAAAACACATCTCCAGGAGGCATACTCCCTTCTCCAGTTCTCCATTTGTCAGGGTGTGGGCATACAGTCACATACATGTAGCATGTTTTTCAAGGCACAGGGGCTGGGATTTGAACTGCAGTGGGCCATGTCAGATCTGGCTTTCTTAACCACTAGGCTTTGTGGCCAGCCCAGATTACAGTTTTTAGTGGCATTTTGCTTTACTTGATCATTTACATCGCTCACTCAGCCTTTAAGTCTTCTTTTTCTTCCTACTCCATTTTTTGTAATAACTACTATTGAAGGAAAAAGAGAAAGGGTCCTCAGAAGAGGTCTGTAGAATGATTTGAAATGGCAGACGAAGGGTGAAACTGGAAATGTTTACTAGAAAAGTAAAGCCATTCATGTTTTACAGGTAACTGAAGACCGAGCTAAACTGACAGAAGGAAGTGCATCTACCTAATTCCCCAATTTAAATATGTACAGTAAATTAAATAAAACATTTTAATACAATGTTTGTGTGTACTTATGAACATTACTTTTTTTCTTCCTAAGATTTATAGTGATCTTTACGTTTTTCTTTCTCTGAAGGATAAAGCAACTTAGGTTGATACTTCCTAATGAAAGATGTTTAATGGATGAGCCCTTGAATGTCTAAAGTGGCTTTATTTTTGCACTTAAATTTCATCAACTATTTGACTACAGAATTCTAGATTTAAGAATAATCTTTGAAGACTTTGAAAGCAGCTTAATTATCTTCTGGCATCTGATACTGTTAATAAGAGGTTTGATGCCAGTCTGATTCTTTTTTTTTTTTTTTTTAATATACCTAAAAGCTCTTCATCCTCTCAACCCCACCACCTACTCTGGTCACTTTTAGTAACTTATTATTCTTGGCATTGTAAAATTCTAGAATTCTGTATCTGTATCTTCAGTTCTTTTGCAGAATTTTATTTTACTTTTTTTTAAAAAAAATTGTTTAATTTTATTTATAATTATTTTTTAATTTGATGAGAGAGAAAGTGAGAAAGCAAGCTGCCAGGCCTGGGACTTGAACCATGGTTAGCCATGTGGGAATTCAGTGCTTTAATCACCATACCACCTGCTGTTCCCCAGGATTTTATTTTTTGTAAAATAATTTTCATATGTGATTGCAGGTTAAAGATTGTGTATTTTAAATTTTGATAACATCTTTTTACATTTATCCCATTTATATTTCATGTATTTGTTATATATTTCATATAAAATACATTG